TTGGCCCCCAGCATCCTATAAGCATCCCAAAAGCTGTGATAACTAGACAGCCTTTTCTGAAAAGCTGCCAACTCCATCCCCTCTCTGTTAAAGGTCATCCTCCCTTAAATCTGTCTGGTTTTCTGGAATTCCTTTGCTTACACAGCCAAGAAGGGGAGGGCGGGGGAACTTTCTTCCTCCCTCAAACATCAACTTTCATTCTTAAAGAAGGGATAAGAAACACCCTCCCGCTCACGTGAGCTGATGGAAAGATCTACCCTGAAACACGCCTTCAAAATGGAATGTCAAAAGCTAAGGGAAACAGATTTTTAACCCATAACTGCTGAAAAAAAACAGAGCTTCAGCTAGAGTCACAGGTTAAGTACAATATTTGGTGTGTGCTTAGCAGAGAAATGGCTCCGGGTTCAGAACAGATTCAGAGCAGCATATTGAAGTCACACAAATGTGCATTCAGTTCCCTACAGACCCCTCAAATATCCAGTGTTGATCATTCAGAGCCCTAGTCTCCTATTGATCACGGTTTGGTGGGGATGGATTCTGATGCTGTCTCTTTAGGGTATCTTAAAGATCCTGGCTTAGTCATTCATTTTGATTTGTGACATTAAAGAACAGAAAAAGCAGAGAACACATGCTAAGATGAATCAAATGTATCAGGCTATGTAAATATTTGGCACACCAAATAAGCAGGTCCCATTTGGAGGCTGTTTCTATCACCGAAATGAGAAGTGAGCCAGTCTTGTGGGGGGGGGGGGGGGGAGTCAAGTTGGCTCATTCCCTTTTCCAGTGGTCAAAGTAAGAGATAAGACCCTTTTGGCCCCCCTGCCTCAGAGGAAGACAACATTTGAGCAGCGTGGTGGATGGCTCTGCTGTTCCAGGACAACAGCTCTTGGAAGCAGCCAGTGCACGAGACTACCGACAGGAGACAGACCTTCCAGGTTTGAATCTCAACTTCAGTGACCAGACCAAACTTTTCTCCCTCTCCTGGGGAGAGGGAGGGAGGGAATAGGCTGTGGGTGAGGCCCAGCTCTCTGCTAGACTCACAGGAGGAAATCAGCCCTGAGGAGATCAAACAAGCCAGGAGAATGTGAAGCCAAACAAAAATCAAAAGGCAAATTCTGTCATCGGGGGTATTTCAGATCTACAAAGGGACAAGCTTGTCTTCATCTCTAAGAATCTTAAGAGAATTATGTCGTGGCTTCTCGATCTACTCTGCACCCTTCTTTGCTCTCCCCAGTGTTTAGGGCCCTTGGTTTCACTATTTTAGGCAGCAAATGTTCAGTGGGATCCTGCTGTGTGACTTGCCCAGGTAATATCCACTTTTTCAGGGCTGGCCACCTAGACTGCAATCTAAAGGGCATAGTGTCCACGGAGTGCAAGGGGCAACAATCCAATAGATCTTCAGAAAAGTTTCCTGCTTCCACTCAGATTACATCTTGGGGAAGGAAAGAAGTAGGGGAAAAAGTTTTTTTTTTTTTTTTTTTTTAAGATTTTATTTGAGAGAGAGAATGAGATATATAGAGCGAGCATGAGGGTCAGAAGGAGAAGCAGACCCCCCGCTGAGCAGGAAGCCCGATGTGGGACTCGATCCCGGGACTCCAGGATCATGACCTGAGCCGAAGGCAGTCACTTAACCAACTGAGCCACCCAGGCGCCCGGGGAAAAATCTTTATATGCTTGTAAAAGGCTGTCTAAATAGCACAGATTAGAAGTTTTGAAGGATAACACCTCACATCTTGAGTCAGCGTTAAGAACTGGGAGACTAAGTGAAATAATGGCTATTTTAAAGCTATCTTATAGGGACTCATTTGGAGCATATGCGCCTCTCTAAAGTATACTTAGCTACAGATATTGTATCTACTGACCAAAGTGACCTACTACATACCGGGAGCTAGAAGTTGCTGCCTCCATCAGGTGAGAAAACTGATAAGGAATAAGAGTCTCAACCCTAGCTGCCATCTTCAGAGGGTCTATTGCCAAAGGCCCAGGAGAAGGAGGAAATACCCTCTTGATGAATGGGACTACCAAACAGAGCAGGAAAAATTTTAAGTTGGAGAACATTAAGAGAAGACAAGTATATTCTAACCCAAATATATTCTAAAATGGTCAGATGTTGGGGGGGGGCGCCTACGTGGCTCAGTAGGTCAAGTATCCAACTCTTGGTCTCAGCCGGGACTTGATATCAGGGTTGTGAGTTCGAGCCCCATGTCGGGCTCCATGCTGGGCATGGAGCCAACTTAAAAATAAAATGGCCAGATGTTAGTACTTTTGAGAACGTCGAAATGGAAGTGTTAGGTAACTGTATTTGTACAGTTAAAAAGCACTGTCCTGAGCTAACATAATTATATGTCTACTCGAAGTCAAATATAGAGGACAGACACTAAACAAGTACATAGCATGTTACATAGGTTGTATTTGAAATAGTTTACGAATTCAGACTTGTAGATGCAGTACAGAAACTCATGTAAGGAGACCCGTGATTTACTTCTTCAAAGAACAGGGCATGAAGTACATTACATATTCACTGCTCTATTTTGTCTAGCTTGTAAAAACTAAATTTCAAGTATTAGATAAAGGCAAGTCACAGAACAGAAATGGCTAAAACAAGTTTGAAAAATGTTCAGACTTATCCAGATGAAGATTTGGGGGAGGGAGGGGGCCTTTTCACCTACTAGAGCAAAAATGTCAAAGACCTGCATTCTCCAATATTGGTAAGAGTGAAAGGAAGGGGGCACTCAATACTGAAGATGTAAATTGTAACATTTTGAGAGCAACGTAGCTATGCTCCCTAAAACTTACAGTGCACACACGTTCTTCTAGGTATTCTAGAAATACTAGTGTCCAAGGATATTGACAGCAACATTGGACTAGTAAGAACTTAAAATAGAGAGACGGATAAGCTTGATACACCCACACATGCACCACTAAGTTAGGAAAAAGGTTTTAACGGTGAAGGACATCCACCATATACTCTGGGGTGGGGGAACAGCAAATGATAGGATTTAAAATTTTGATCTCGGGCGCCTGGGTGGCTCAGTCGTTAAGCGTCTGCCTTCAGCTCAGGTCATGATCCCAGGGTCCTGGGATCGAGTCCCGCTTCGGACTCCCTGCTCTGCAGGGAGCCTGCTTCTCCCTCTCCCACTCCCCCTGCTTGTATTCCTGCTCTCGTTGTCTCTGCCAAATAAATAAAATTTTTAAAAAAAAAATCTTTAAAATTTTGATCTCTTAAAAGCTATGAATGAGTGGATTTTTTAAGATTTTTATTTTTTTGACAGAGAGACACAGCAAGAGAGGGAACACAAGCAAGGGGGAGTGGCAGAGGGAGAAGCAGGCTTCCCGCTGAGCAGGGAAGGAGCCCGATGTGGGGCTCGATCCCAGGACTCTGGGAACATGACCTGAGCCAAAGGCAGATGCTTAACGACTGAGCCACCCAGGTGCCCCAATGAGTGGATATCTTAAGAACTTATCCCTGAAGGAAAGAGAGGGCATAGAATTTCACTTTTTACTTTAGGACAGTTATGCTGACATAGAACTATTAATCTGCTAATCCACTCAAAAATAAGTCCATACAGTCCGGGGGAGGGGGGGGATCATGCAGGCCCCCCCCTTGTGCCCCTTAATATAGCCACTCTGATTTCACCAACAAAACTGACTCCAACAAGCAGGTCTAAAGGGGACCAACCTTATCCTGAAGTCTTCGTATGTAAGAAATGGTACAGTTTAGCATGCCTTTCTCAAGTATTCTTATGTTTCCATAGGTTCCCACCCAAATATTACAATAGATGCAAATCAGTTGCTCAGAACCACACTTTCTACATTTAAACTTAAAAAAAGAAAAACACATTTCAAGCTGAGACCCAAATATTGCCTAAGTTCAGGTCCACAACTAAGAAATGTAAAGAGCTCCACCTTCCTTTCATCTTTTATAAAGATGGATGCAACAGATGGTTCTCTTTATTCTTTAAAGGAATATCCCTTTATTTCCCAATGTAACTCAGTGATTTTTATTCAATAGGGGCTTGAAGCACATCATGAAGGTAGATGACACCATAAAATATCTTCATCAAAAATAGATTTAGAAAGTGTAAGAAACAAGTTCATGAATTTGAAAAACTTTACAAGCTAACTCACTAGCACAATTTTAAAGTACACAGTGTCTCCCTAACGTGCTTACTACTAAACAGTGTCAGGATAATGTTTTCTGGGTTGAATGTACACTTCCCACTTTCCCTAATAAACCAATGCCCAGATGGGAAATGTAACCAGAACTAAACAAACATAATATAGTGATCAGGAGAGCTAGACGGTGGCCTAGGAGCCTGGGATGCCTTCACAAGGTACAAAGTATTAAGTTTAAACAAACAGAACGGAGAGAATAAGAAAGGAGATTCTTGATGTGTATAAAATGGGACTACAGATCCGAGGTGGAAATAAATGGACTTTCCGGATGCAACCAGTAGTACATGTACACGTTAAAGGCACATTCACAGTAAAGGAAAAACATGCCTCCTAGCACAGCAACCCGTTATAATCTAGGAAACTTTAAAATGTGCTAACTTGGTTCTGAACAATAATCAGTAATCAAAAACAGAACTATGAGAATGATGCATGGCCTAAGATTATAGAGTCCAACCCAGGGCATAGGTAAGAGATAAAGAACAAAAACTGAGCAAGAACAAGAAAAGCCACATGAATACAAAGTGATTCCATTTCTTTTCCTCAACACCCACACAAAGACAGCAGTTTCTGACAAGAATGTTCTTGGCAAAAAATAAAGTTACAGGAAGGTTTTTTTTTCAATGAGAAAAAGGCAGCTCCATATGCAGATTACTAGGCGATACAATTTTTTTTTTAACGGCCCAAATTTACAGACCTCATTTTGAAAATATCTAATTTTTTTTTTTTTTTTGGATCACAAAGAAAAGAGGACTAGAAATACTGTTCCTGTTTGGAATGCTTATTTCGTGTTGTACTTGAAAATAAAATCCAATGTGGCAGCTTACCTTGGCACTGGAAGCCTTGTTTCCCAAACCCCCTGAAAAACAGAAACAACAAAGTATCTTAACATATTTTGTTGTATACCATATTTTAAGCCAGTTATGAGACAAAGTATTCCACAGAATTAAGGGTTTGTACATAAAAACCAATGATTTGATAGGAAAAACATGCCTAGAGTACTGAATAAATCCAACTTTGGGGGGGAAAAAAAAACCTCTGTATAGCCTCCAAAGGCTCATTGAGAGGCTCATTGAATTGTTTCAATGTATCAAGGTTCTTTCCAGTTTACACTTTGTTACCCATACTTAAGTTTCCAGATAAAAACATGACTGATATTCAGAGTTGGCTATAATATTCAATAAAGACTTTACGATTGAAGGAAGTGCTTTAATTTTGTCCCTAAAGACAAAATGAAAATCCTTTTTCTCCCTAAACACAACTAGAAAGTGGCTTCATTTGCTGTGAATGTACTTCAAATAGGTATCTAGAAACCACCAAACAGTACCACCCCACATTAAATTTTGGTTTAAAAGGAGCCAGATTTCACAAAATGTTTTTATTGGTTGCATTTGAAGTTATGTCTAATTTTTTTAGAGCATCAATAGCATTGAAAGCAAATACAGAGGCTATTTTGTTCTTGCAAATTAGAAGATTTACTCTGAGCAGAGAGCCCTACCATGGACATTAAATTGTAAACACTTTCAACTACGATCAACTGCATTAAAATTGTTAGTCATAATCTCTTTACATAGCATTTAAAGTTGACAAAGAACTTCATGCATCTTTATATATAACTTACTCATTCCACCAGATTTAAGCCCAAACATTTATAGTTTTAAAGTATTTTAATATTTAAAACAAACTTGTAAATTAAGGACCCATAGACAAAAAGAAAGACAACTTAAGTTAAAACCACTGCTAGATAATCCTGGTGAATATTTTTTGGAACTTTCAAGTAGTTTCTAATTAGGAGAAGTATTACAGGAATTACTCAGGGAGGAAGCTGACAGGGAGACCTTTATTTTCCACTTCACATTACACCTGGTGACCTCAAGTACCATAGCAGTTCACCAGGGGAACTGATAGTGGAAAGACATTAGCTAGCCTGATTATGTATGTTCCTTTCCTAATTCACCTACTCCTCCCCCCGCCAAAAGTAGTCTGCAGTCTGAAAGCTCCCTTTTTATTGCATCTCACAATTGGCATGGGAGGCTGAACAAGTCCCCTTAGATGCAGTAACCTCCTGCCCTGATGCTCCAAGAACTTAGATAGCCTTATCTATAGTCGCTTTGAGCATAACTGCTTCATATAATGACTACACAGTGGAAATCATTCGCAAAGGTGGCTGTGCTTTTCATGAAAGTACTTCTGAGATTTCCAAAAAGGAAAGGAAAAAGCACCTTATTAGCACTGTGTGTGTGTGGGGTGGGGGGGGGACTCTCCCTTAGAGATGCTTTTCCCCAAGCGTGATGGATTCGAATAGCCATCCATAAAGGAAAAGTTAAGCATCTTAGCACGCTTGTGGGGCCCTTAGAGGTGATTTCCTCCAGATGTGATGGATTCAGATAATGCCATCCTTAAAGGAAAAAAAATTAAGCACCTTATTAGCATATCTGTGGGGCTTATGATATCCCCCCCCCGTGGGGTGAATTCAGATGCCATCCATAAAGGAAAAATTAAGCATCTTATTAGCACATTTGTGGACTTCATCCTTGGAGTTGCTTCGCCCCCCCCCCCCCGGTGTGATGGATTCACACAGCCATCCGTAAGTTCTGCCTAGGGCCCCAAAAGATACATGCCACAGAGGGTAGTGGCCCTGTGGCACTGTCACCCCAGTGCAACCCCCTGACCTATGAGAGACAGGAATTAAGGAACCTTCACCATAACTCTGACTTGGGGAGTTTCCTACCTACATTCAGGAACAGGAGATAGAAAAAGGCCGGGTATCTGCCAACCTGAGAAAAAAACTGCTCCCTGCTCAAACTGGAGCACCTGCGGTTCCATACGGTTCAGCGTTCTAAACTTTGGGGGGTGGGGGGGAGGGTCACCATGTTCTGAGAGTAAGAACCATTAGCTCTCACTAGAAGAAGGTATATACAGTTGTGCCTAGTTTCGCAGGATTCAAAGACCCCTGAAGGCCATCCCTTTAGAGGTCCCCCCGCAAACCCCTAGGCCCACAATACCGGCATTCACTGTAAACTCTGTACCTGAACTCCGACACCTTACAGTTTTCTTAACTAAGGCCTCTGTCCTCATCAGCCGGGCTGCAGGTCTAATCTCGTGCTGACAGGGTCTATTTTAAAAAGACTCCCTCTGCCCTACTGCCATTTGCCTGCTCGGTTTTAATTCCCCTCCCCCACTGCAAGCTTTCAACAGTTTGCTGCCTCTCGGCTCTCCCTGGGCTCACCCTGGAAAGTCCAGTCTCCCGTGCCCAGCAGATACAAGCTACAGTAGGCAAGGACCCAAGGTTCCAGAGCAGTCCAAGCCCGCTGGGAACACACACACACACACACACACACACACACACACACACACACACACACACACACACACACACACACACACACACACACACACACACACACACACACACACACACACGGAGG